AGGACCCCCAGGGGGTGGGAAGGGGTTTCCAGGTGGGATTTGGGGCGTGCAGGGGGTGGGAGGGGGTTTCCAGGTGGGATTTGGGGCGCGCAGGGCGCTTCTTTCCCCAGGGGGAAGCATCGACTTCCCGGTTCCCTGCGACGCGAATCCCCCCGGGCTGGAAATCCTGGAACTCCATGGATCCCCGGCGAGATCCAGGAGGAAACATCCCAGAGATGCGCCCGGACCCAGATTTACATATTTTTAGGGAAAACAAAGCCGGGGGGCGGGGGGAGGGTTGGGAACAGTCTCGGAGCCGAAACTGGTTCCCCAAACCTCTCCCGGGATCGCCCAGCGCTGGGTTTGATCGGCCACGTGGGCTCGGGGGGGTTGTTTTGAGGGGTTTTTATTTGTTTTTCCAGCGCGATAACCCGGGATCCTCCAGGGAGGCAGCCCAACACCTCATTAAAATGGAAATTAAAAGCAATTAGGCAATTAAGTTGTGTTTCTTTAACAACGGGGCGCGGCGGGAGCGGCTTTGCCGGAGCGCCACGTGCCGCCCCGGGGGGCTGGAGACCCGCAGGGACCCTCGGGAAACATCCCAAAACACCTGGAGCGTTCCAGGGAGGAGGGATGTGACCCCCCTGGGGACCGGGAATGGCACCGGGGCCCCGACGAGCCGCGACCCAACGCGGAGCCAGCGGGACATTTCGGGCTCTGCCAACCCCGCCCGGCTCAACCCGTCACTCAGAGGGCTCCGAACCCGCTCGGGAACCCTTTCAGGAGGTTTTAAAAAATCATCTTTATTGACACAGCGGCGGTTTTTCGAGCCCTGCCAAGCCCCGACGCTGCGGGTTGTGAAACACTTCGGGGCCGACCCGCGTCACCCTCCGCTCGGAGCGGGAGGTTGAACCCGGGGCCACCCGAGGGTGTGACTGGGAACCCGCGCTCGGGCTGGAATCCGCTGAGCCCAGCCCTGCTGTCAGCCCCAAAAATGACAGGTTCGAGCCCCGAGCGGGGTCTCCCTCGAGGGCGAGGCGTGGCCGGGGCTCCGCGGGGCTTTGTGAGCGGTGACAGCCCCAACCCGCGGCTGTTTGAGCTCGGGCTTCGCCTTCCAACACCAACAATGGCTTTGTTTGCCTTCGCTCTCCCCGGGGAGTGTTTCGGGGGCAGGTCACGGCGGTGGCGAGGCGAGGAGGGAACCCTTCCAAACCCCCGAACACAATGAAGGGAATTAAAACAGCCCCCAAAAAAAGCAACCACCCACCTGACATCTCCCCTCCCCCGGCACCCGGCGGCTCCCCGCGCCCATAAAAAGGGGGCACCCGGCGGTCGTTCCCCCAGGACTCGCCTCCTCTCGCCTCCCGACCTCCAAACTCGGCTCTCGGCTGCACATTTTGGGGCCCCCCCCGTCATGTCTCGCCAATCCTGCGCTCTGGGGAAGGGCTTCGGCTCCAGCTCCGTCTGTTTCGGGGGCAAGACCAAGGTCGCCTTCGGCCCCCGGGGGGCCTGTCGGGGGTCCGGCTTCGGCAGCAGGAGCGTCTATAACCTGGGAGGGAGCAAAAGCATCGCCCTCGGGGGGCTCGGGGGGGCTGCCGGGCTCTGCAGGGGTTTTGGTGGCCAAGGGGGCTTCGGGGGCGGCGCGGGGTTCGGGGGGGGCTTCGGCGGGAGCTGCTTCCCCGGAGGCTTTGGGGGCTTCGGGGGGGGCTTTGAAGCGGGGATGGGGGGCCAAGGCTTCCCCCCGTGCCCCCCCGGCGGCATCAGGGAGGTGACCATCAACCAGAGCCTCCTGGCCCCCCTCAACCTGGAGATCGACCCCGAGATCCAGCGGGTGCGGGAGCACGAGCGCGAGGAGATGAAGAAGCTCAACGACAAGTTCGCCTCCTTCATCGACAAGGTGAAATTTGGGGGGGTTGTGGGGGGTTTATGGGGGGGGTCCCGGCTCGGGGTGGCTCCAGGGGGAGGGAACGGCCGGGAGAGGCTCATCCATGGACACCCCGAGCTGGGAACTCCAAAATCCCCCCAAAGTTCCATGGGAATGGCCGGGAGAGGCTCCTCCAGGGACACCCTGAGCCAGGAACTCTGAAATCCCCCCAAAGTTCCACGGAAAGGGCCAGGAGAGGCTCATCCAGGGACACCCAGAGCCGGGAACTCCAAAAGGACTTGAAGGAGAAGATGGGATTGGGGGTATTTGGGCCGTTTTTAAGGACAAGATGGGATTTGGGGTGTTTGGGGATGTTTTAAGGAGAAGGTGGAACTTTTCTGGGGATATTTTTAAGGAGAGGGTGGGATTTAGGGTGATTTGGGCTGTTTGGAAGGACAAGATGGGATTTGGGGCCATTTGGGCCGTTTTGAAGGAGAAAATGGGACTTTTGGAGGGATATTTTTAAGAGGAAGATGAGATTTGGGGTGTTCGGGGATGTTTTTAGGGAGAACATGGGATTTGGAGTGTTTGGGCTCTCTTGAAGGAAAAGGTGGGATATTTGGGGGCTGTTTTTAAGGAGAAGATGGGATTTTGGGGTGTTTGGGGTCATTTTGAAGGAGGAGATGGAAGTTTTTTGGGCTATTTTTAAGGAGAAGATGGAAGTTTTTTGGGCTATTTTTAAGGAGAAG